GAAAAGAAAGAAGACGCGCTAGCAGTATGATGTCTTCGCTTATCCACCCTGCTGTATGCAGCAGATAAGGCGACGGCCGACGCAGTATGTGATTGAAGCTTGCACGTTGGCTGAGATACTGCGAGGACGCCCAGACCTAGACAGAAGAATGATTAGGGTTCCCAACCAAAGGCTTTGGCTCAAAAGACTGTCCGCAAGGCAGTGGGGAAGTGGTAATTATTTAGTTTTACAGAAATGGATGCCACCTATTTCCAACCCCCAACCTGGAGGACCAGGAGACTGGCTGATCTCTAACCTTTGAGCTACCTGATATGAGTAATTCACAAGGGGCCCGGAGGCACCACCCAGTAGTGCGTGTAGATCGAAGACGTACGCAAACCGTCTCTACACGTTAAGGTCTAGTCTTGCTGCGACAACATCTCCAGTTACCAATCATACAAACCATTGCACGTAGACACCGCTAAGCGCAGGTCATACGACGCGCGTTTGACGAATATGCCCGCTAGCTAGTGTGGAGCCAATCAGTGCTAAGTTTCAGTGTCGAACACGGCTAGACATCCCAATCCAAATGCATGATCGATCTGCGTCGCACCTAACGATGTTGAAGAAAACCAGGTAGCTATTTGTATACCTAACGTGGCTATTAAGGAACTGTTGCTTCTGTGCAATCTCAACATCCAGTTCTCGTCTATTGGTGAATCATGTCGAAAGCACGACGGAGTTGCTATGGACTCTTCACTGGGATCGTTTCTCGCTGACGTGTTCATAGGTATGCCTTAATAGTGCAAGCTAAAACAGGTCATCACGAAACTCAGTCCTTATCGCAGATACGACGATATCTTTATATTGCTCCATTCCACCCGAAACATCGAAGATCTCACCAATGAATTCAATCAAGCGCACCAAGCGTTGAAATCCAATTTCCCGACGTGTCAATGAAGCGACTTGAAGGTGGCGCGTTACAGTGTTACATGTATAGGAAACATATTTGGAATGGACAATAAACGAATCCTCAAAAGTTCGTCCCACAGAGATTAAAACGGAACTTGATCCTCAGTCTAAGGCTTATTTTGAAAAGCCAATGACATGAGCGTATCACTATTGAAGAAGATCGTAGGCGTTGTTGCGATCTTCCGAAGCTCTCAGCGCACACCCAACGTTGCATACCTCAACGGTTCGGTCACATCCTCCGAAGACAAAACACGGATTTCACTAAGGCCGTAATTTCGCCCTCGACGTGCCAGGGTTGGTGTCGTCGCCCTGGTGGACAATTTAAAACGTCTCGCTTCAGTTAAATAGGGTATCGATCTTCTGGGACTCCAGATTGCGCATGGTGCTCGTCACTGGATAAGCCAGGAGCTTGTCGCTGACCACCGCGCTTGGACAGCTGCAATCAGTGAGATTTAGGGAGTCGGCTCATCCTGTCGCAGGAGCTAGCCGCAGTAAAGTAAAGTAGTGGGTCGAGCAGAAAGAATTTGCCTGAACGACACGTTTTCCGAGGAAATGAAGCGCATACGTCCGACGCTGAGGGAAAATGGTTACCCAAACAGGTTCCTGAAAGCCAACATGTGGTAAAGGAAGAAGGTTTCTGTAACCCTTACAGCCCAGAGAAAAGCTATATTTTCACAACTACCATACAAAAGAGATCGCTGCAGAAATGCTAGCGCGTCCCCTTGCTCATGCCCTGAGACACTTTCCCAGCAGGTACAATGCAAATCCAGTTCGCCGGTAGTCTCACGGTAAAATCCAGCCTCAAAGATAAGAATTCTGTCCGCACCAAATCAATGTGCATGTACTCGTTCGCTTGTTCCTGTGAAGTAGGTTAGATTGATCGAACAACGAGGCACCCGTGTGACAGAGTGAGGGAACACTATCCGGTCTAGCTCATGACTGTTTGTCGAAAACCAAACAATTCGTTCATAATCCCGCATCTTACCGACCCTAGTCATGCCACCAAATTGGCTAAGTCATTTAAAGTGATTTATCAGGCACCGGACAATCGATTAAATGCATCCGCTGGGGCCATCGCGATTCGACTGTAAGAGCCGGAGTTGTGTTCAGAAGCGTTTCGCTCTGACGTTAAAGCTGCCTTGGCCAAATCGAACTGCGACATCCGGCTCACGGAGATGTGTGCGTGCCGCAGTTGCGATCTAACGGACAGTGGTTGTGAACGGAATATATTTTATCAACCCTTACGTTGTGTCGAAGAATTTTTCCTGTTTATAATTGTACAAGTCTGAAGAATAATTACTGAAAACATACGTTCGCTTGTATCGACTTTTGGTCATCCAATGGGATTTTTTACTAGTGTGAATTAGATTCTGTTATGGAAACAACTGATTAAGAAAACGTATAGATATATCACAACATCAACGACAGGTGAAGACTAGATTTGCTCCCAGTTTCGGGATTGGATCCTCACCACTCCTTTGAACAGCCGTAAGACTGTAACCCTGTGGATAACTGAGTGGTGTTAGGTATTGCTACGAAGGACATCATTGCCACGACGGTAGCTCTCTACTGTGCGATGAAAACAGCTAAGGCGGCTCCAGTTGTAGGAGATACGAAAGTGTAAGTAGGTATTTGAGATAAATCGGGTACTTGTAGCTCGGGTTGACTGATCTGGTTTTCGTTTGTTCTCTGAGCTGAGCAAGTACATATTCCAATCGGTCCCCAAAGACAGATAGGTGGGGAATTTGAGTCCACCTAAACGTAAAATATACAACGGGATTTTGCATTGATCACCGAGTGTTCCGAAGCATCAAAACGAACAGATACAAGTGGCGCTAAAGCGCAGTGGATCGGAATTGGCCACTGTGATGAGAGACTATATCCTAGAGGGGTCAGCCAAGCAGCAGCGCAAGGCCGAATCACCGCTTGCACTGCAACCGTCCGTACGCAGGGAAAATCAGTCTTTTTGGCGGGTCGGGATACAGAGGCGGTGGGTAGATTCCTTTGACAGTCCGAGACTGTGGAGCGTCTCAGGGCCGAACGATCGACTAGCACAGCAACGGTAGGTAGGCGCCAGTGAGAGTCTATCTGGTCCACGCTTCGGGTTACATAGGTGTTGGAACGAGGTGATGTCAGCCTGAGCGATACCACGGGGAAATAACATTCGTGAATCATATCAACGGATGATATTTGCGATGAATGCATTTCATAAAAGGTCGTCGTTTGCGTGCGAAATAGATGCGGTCAAAAATCGGCCTCTTTCGTTTTCGGAGCGCTGCGATACAGCCACAAACCTAAGAGTGCGGTTAACTTGGTCTATGCTTAATTGCTGCACGTTTATGGACATGTGTGTCCGTCCATGTCATGTTCTGTTGCGATACCAATTTTCATGAACCCTGACGAGGCACAGTGAACGGATCACATGATCGACAACGCAGATGCCACCCAGCCCACGGTTAGTAAGACTAACGATGATATCCTGCATGCTAAGCCTCCAAATAATCGAAATAAGGGGACCGAGCTGCCATGCATGACGCAGGAGTCTCTGCCTACTGCATGATCAGTAACCAATGCATCGGACGCTGGATATCCTAATGGCTGGTGAACTTGCCACAATGCAGAAACAGCAGTCATGTTGGGACTGAGCACAATGCGACAAAACGAAGTATAGTACGCTGATTAAAAGGGAGCGTGTAAACTGGAAGACTTGGTGGACGCAAAGGTGTTATGACATGGACGACTAGGTAGATGCAGGTCTCTTCCGCGGACTCTTCCTTCTGGTCAGCTCCGGTGGTCCCAAGACACCATGCTTTAGTGAGACTATTAGAGACAACCTCGGCACAGCAATCCACAAGGAAAGCCACCTGACTCGTTGTGCAGGGTACATCTAAGAGGGTCTAACTTGGTATCCAGCCACAAGTTGATTAGGCTGAGTGATGATCAGTGTACTTGCAAGTACCATGTGGATTTTAAATTCTGCGAGTTCAAGAACGTGACAGACAGTTGATTGCCACGTTTTAAGCAAAAATGTCAGAAGTGCTCCCAAGAAAATGATGAAGTTTCGCGTGTTTTATGGTGAAGTAACAGGAGTCAGTTGGACGATAACCGACATCGGCTAGGGCTGACCCGTTTCCCCATAAGTACAGACCTCGTTGCGGGCTCTATCGTGGTCCCTCAAGGCGGACCGTAATACGAGCGTTTTCTGAAAGATACTGTGGACTTGGATGACACCGATAATGTACTGCCGTTCGACAATCCTGACGCCTTGAAGTCAACTCTACTCAAACAATGGAGTAGCCTAATCATTTCGTTTGCGCTTTCCAACCCAAGTTCAAAGTATTGTCGCAGCACCACAAATCAATTGATGTCTCCTTGAGTTTTGACGATAAGAAATTTAAGATTGGGCGGACATCAGTAATGTTCGTTCGGGAATGAGACCAGATGTGACCGACATGTTGTGGGGGCCATCAGTCAAAGACAATCAGTATGCCAATGTCCTTAAAGCGCCGCATCAACATCTCTGACCCATCAGTTCAGTTCACCGAAGTGCAATGAAGCCGGTTGCCTTGAGTTACGTTACCAAGGAGTAGTTGAAGTGATGGAGTAGGTGGAGGAGGAAGGAGAAGCAAGAGAAAGAGAAGACGAACTAAAGTAGCCAAATAAGGTGATGGGGAAAATAAGGTATAAAAAAAGGTTTGTTACTAGGCCTGTGACCAGTGTGCTAATAATGCATTTGACGCACCTCTAGATTTGGTTAGCACGCGACGGGCTTGTTAACCACGTTGGAAAGAGAACCCCATGGAAGTGGAAAGTCATCAAAGGTTCGAATCTCGACTTACGTACTGTGCATTGCAGGAGCATATGCGCTTCGCCGAAGAGTGTACAGACATATAAACTCGTAACGATGCTAACTAAGCCCAGGACTGGTATCCGTCACTAAAACTTTTTTTAAAAAAACGACACCCCGCATAAGGCGAGATTTGGTGGACCAAATGAAAGGCCGAAAGCGAACCAACAGGAAGAAGCCTTGAAATTATTGATGATCTCACCAAAATTCGTTGGCGAGTGTGAAGAGCGCAATTTGTCAGCGGAACGCTCAGTACTGGGACCCAAAGGCATGGCGGAGTCACGCGACCACGGCTGCAAAGGAAATAGAAAATAGAGTTGACCAATGTTTAAAAAACCATGAGTAGCGATTGCGACCTCATGAAGGTCAGATTAAACAATGAGTTAATTAAATTCTGGAGGTGTAGAAAGTCGATGCCGGATACCGGTCTGATGAAAAAGTCACCGAATCGCAGGGACAAGTTTGCACATCACGTTACGCACGTAAATGAAGCAATACAAAAGTGAAAATCCGACTGAGTGATATCGAACAATAAGATGCATCCGAAAGGCGATAAGACATTTACCGAACAGAGAAATGTAGGGGGATTTGAATGGTGTCTAAATGTGACGTATTTCAAGTTAGGAGAAAAGGACCGCACCGAAAGTTTAGTGTAACGAAATACAAAACAGTGATCGTACTCGAGTGAGGTTCTTTTCGATTGCAAAATGAATGAGATCTTTGATGCATGTGGAACCATCCACATCGGTAGAAGCGAGAGTTGAGAACGGGGACCGTTGGGGCTCGGTCGCAAAGCAATCAGCGTTGGGATCATTGGGAGCTGGAGCTGGCGTACGCGAGGACAAACAGACCTGGGGGCGTAAGCGGACAGATGCAAACCAATCAATGGTGAATAGAAACATTGAATAAGGGTGGGGAGAGTAAAAACAACTACACCATATGTGCACTTAATCCGCTAAATTTCTTAACAGAGTATGCATTGCGCTTATGTCTAAGTGAGATGGGAGTGCATGAACAGCAGAGCGCGACAACATAGAAAGTGGAAAGCTGTGATAACAAATCTTTACTAGGAACGAGTAACTAAGAGGGATGCACTGCTCCAAATAAAGTGGGTGTCACCGTTCGCATGAATAACTAAACGGCCTACGGAGAAAACAAACGGACAAACCGTAAAACGTTGATCGTTAGTTGATGTGTCGCATCGATACAGTGAACAAGATGCAGCAAAAATTAGGGAAATCTGTGAACAGAGGGAGTGATGAAGTTAAAGGTGGGATAATGTACGGGGAAAGCGGAGTGACGGTCACGGTACGAATCGAAGACGTGAGCGACTTGAAATGGCCGCAGAGTGCAGTCTTGGCACGTACAGTGATGCAGGCCACATTCAAAGCCCCGTGTATTGCAATCGGACGATATGATGACTTGACGATTCAGGGGACAATCAAGGCCTGGAAGCCAAAAGAGGACCAGCAAAATCTTCAAACTTCTTTCGAGATCTGATCACCAGATAAGTGAAACAACCTGCGATCTTCAGTGGTTGTAAATGTAAACGTGAAAAATGATGCTGTGTCGATTTAAACAACCACAAGTACACTGCACTTTCAGGGTTCGAATTCCGTGGAGTGCAGAGTAACTCGGTCCAGAAGCATCAGTGGAAAGCGTTTCGCCTGAGAGAAACAGCATTCCAACACCAGAACATATAGGAAATATAGTCCAGCCATTTAGCACAGGTTACATTTTCTTCCAATGAAGCGGATGAGCGTTGTGGAAATGTGGCTACAGAGAGTGGGAAAAGTAGAATCATACAGCTAAATCACGCTAGCCACGGAGTTATGCACAACAATGGTGCGTCGCAATACTGTGATGTATGGTTAAAGCTGTAGAGACACGCAGCGCTATGAAGAAATCAATTACATCAAAAACAATCAAAGGATCTGAGAACATGAATAACACATCGCCTGAAGAGAATTACACAACACGGGTTGACTAAATAAAGAACTAATAAGCCATCGATGTATTGTAGTGAAACGTGCTAATTATTTATTTTAAAACACCACTACATGATTTTATTTACTCCTGTTTTAGGTTCCCTATTTCTTTGATGACTACGAATGGGCCGAAGATTCCAAGTAAACTAGTACACCCATACAAGGCGTATTGCCATAGACTCGCTGGCATGCGCTTAAAGAGTTGGACTTGAATGATCCAAATGATAAAACAGGCTGTACGACTTGAGTGCCCATACCGTATTCATATAATAGCAGCCTCAGGGATGACTTAAAGCGGTACATGGCTAGAGAGATCAAGGGAGTGACAGTGAAACATTTTGAGGAAAAAGCAGACGGTTCCATGAATGACCGTATTACTTCATTTGAATGTTTGGATACATCCGCGGTCATTATTATTGTCAGCATCACAATCTTCCAATACATTCAACTTAACAGTCCAAAACATCGTTCACAACCATCATCATCACCAACAGCGGTACACCAGCTATTTGAACTGACGCTTCGCTACCGTAGAGACATAACGACCTACGAAACAAAGAAGAATAAAAGGGAGAGAAGGGGGACTTACCTGAAAATCTTAAGCAAACATCCTCGGCCAAGGCGCATGCACCTTGTGTCAACAACATACCGACACAAATGGCTGGATACCGTGTAAAGACAAGGCGGCTTCAGCAAGACAACTTCCTTGCAACTTTCAATGTCCCGCGCTATAACCAACCACTACGCCGCAGGTAACTCAGCAACAAACTGTAAACAAGCAATCCGACTAACAGACCGCAGCAGACACGCAACTGGATCCGAATACCAGCCATTTCCAGTAAAGTCTAGAGCCAAGCACAAGGCGGGTCACATGGACCCCGAAATAGAACGCAAGACGGACAAACAGTACACATTTCGGCCGTTAACGACTTCATTTCCTGTTAACAAGTTACTTCTGTCCACCGTAAGCCTTGCGAAACCGTTCACCCGACAAGCAATACAAGGCAAATAACAGCCGTGCATACGTAGTACGTGCCTAAGCCTATTGTGTCGCTAGACAATGTCTTCGCTCCACGAACACAAGAAGAACTAGAAAAACGCGCCGGGAAAGAATCGTATGTATTGTATCATGCCTGTTTAAATAGGTTTACGAATGGGTTGAATGGAAACTACTAAAAGACTTTCAAGGCAACCATATTTCTGAAAACTTCCAGGCAGAATGAAGAGTGATCAATATCGGAGCCAATAAGGGGCGCGTAACGAACGAAGAGAGCGTTAGCAGTCAAGTGGAACTGCGATCCGTGGACAGAAACAGTGACCATACGCAGCCAATGACATTAGCGGAACGACATGTCTAAAAAATGCCAGTAACAACGATAGCGGAAGAAACGCCAACTAAGAAAATTTTCCAAAAAATTGTATGTGCAATAAGTGTCCCCTCACAAAGACAACGCAACTTATTCACTACCATCCCTTGTTCGATGGAACCAGCTTGATTATCAATACCAAGCACTCGCCTATAAACATCATGGTTGCGGACACACTCGTGTCACTCGACACCAGCAATGCTTCGAAGACAACGACGATTAGACTTGAAGGCACCTAAGAATCTCAGATAGAAGGGAACAAGCTTTATTACAATAGAGTAGGACAACCCTCACAGTGGCCTTGCAAATTCGGCCTGTAGGCAACCTGACAGAAACCCATTCCTGAAACCAAAGATGTCGTAGAATTCAGAATGTAATTCTAACGTTTGCAGTACGATAAGTGACTTCAGTAGTTATGCGCCTGTAGTTGCTGATGCCGCTGCCAAGACAAGCGAATGGATCGACTACCTCGAGTTCCTCGACACTAAGGGTCAAGGGGTTATCAAGTGGCTGGTGGTCCTGCAACAACAACCTGCAAATTGAGGGTGCGAAGCGCATATCAAATAAAGGGAGCACTCCAGAGATGTTACTCAGAGTTAACTGGGCTGTCCAGACGCCGTTAAACTGCAAGACAACATCGTCCGCATAATAAAGATCAACCAGACTCTCACCAGGCACTACCTCAACGCCTGCATCGTGAGGCTCCGCAAGGGAACACCACAACAATCGAACACTAATGGGTAAAATGGTCAACCCTGACAAACACTCGTCGTCGGAAAGATTTTGGACAAGTCACCGTAGAACCTGACGTGGTCTGTGGTGTTCGAGCACAGGACACGTAGTGTTCACATATTTCATGGGGACACCTTTCCGCGACAAGTATTTCGAACAGAATTGATCGATCGACCGAATCAAACCCAGGGTGTTTTCTTCTGGATTCAAACAGGTTCATAGACGCCTCAGATATCCAGTGACAGGTGCGGTGACGACTGGTAGTGTCGCAACTAAAGGTTTCCGTGTCGTAGATGGCGGCCGAGATCCTATTCCACTGAAGCCCAATGCTATTAAAATAAGGGAGCGAAAGTTCGGTATGCAGGGTATCCTAGTAGGTTTGCCTGACCGAGGGTTGAGATAACTCCTAAACTGCTAATCGAGGGAGATGCTTGGTACACCTCCCGGTAAAGATCGTGGAAAAGCGATAGGGTGCAAAAGCATGATCAGAGCCGACGTAAGTACTCCAGAAAGAGCGATAATCCATATTAGAACCGTGCCGCCTATAACTTATGGCAACGTGATCTATTTGGGTCTATCGCTGGTTAGCTACAAGTGGACGTCAAGGCACTTCGGCGTATGGGAAAACTCGAATAATTATTCTTCGTGAACCCAGTCTACACGTTGAAAAAAGGTTTAGTTGGGCTGTGCGCGCAACATCGAGAAATGTACCGTCAATATACCTAAGCGCATGAGCAGCTGTTAGGTGGAAAGGTTGTCACCACGGTGATCCAGGGCTAAACTCAGTCTGACATTATACGAGATAAAGATAGCGGCCAAAAACGGCAACAATACGCGAAATCGAGGAGTGGTTTGAAACTAATTTACCCATGTCTTTCAGTAAGGTTAACGTTACCATGAAAAGTCATCACTATCATCATTAATACGCATTAGCCGAGGGTGAAAAACACACCTCAGCTAAAGTGCCGCAACACGTCAATGATAAGAGATTAACATTACAGACTACAAAAGCCAAAAAAGGAACAATGATAAATATATGATGTATTGGTTGAGGTCATTGTTGGACAGTGAAAGTAAGCGGAATGGGGAGAGACAAAGAGACTTATAAACCAACGCCACTGAAGTCAACTAGTGTATTCAACTAAACGTGTTCTCAATATCCTTCGGACCCCAGCCGGATACTCGGGATACACCAACGACGCCAACTTCAAAGTGACGGTCGTTATTCCTCTTGACCGAATCATTGCTTGGCCTCCCCACCTCCTCATCTACCCAGGGCGCGCAAATATCGCAAGATGCGGAGGTCGATGTGCTCGCATGCGCAACACGTGGAATAGCCATCGGAACCTGGTGCGTGATATAACGGTGCTAACCGGTTCACTCGCTCTTCCTGCACCAAACACATGACGCCAAACATGTTCATTGCTCGGGCAGTGTTCCCACCACACATGAGCTAGGCTGCAAAGACAGCGATGGTCGGCTGATCTAATGGACCAGGTTTCACAACGGTATATAGGGGGTTGTACGAACGGCTGCATTGTAAATTCTGCCCTTCAGAATTATTGATGTAGCTCCGGCACCGCATGACGCCTGTATCGGCACCCGTGTCTATTGTTGTTCTTTTGAGTCAAGCAGTCGTTCGCCGGGTCGGATTATAAGTCGATTGCAAACTAGTATGGCATTAGTCAAATGACCGGGTAAGGTAGCGCGCGATCGTTTACAAGTTAGAAGGGTCAAAACGGGCGATCAGTGGTCATGACGTATCGATACAGTGTGGTGGTAGGAGGCAATCATGCAGGAATATCTTGGAATGGGGGAATGAAACACATGGGAAGCCACTGAGATCTGTTCATGTTTGATCAGGAATCACACACGAATGGGTTATAAGATGCCTTGAATGGAGATAAGAACAGGCGTTCGAAAGTGCACAGAAACACTGCCTTTGGGGTCACAAACAATGCAGAAACAGTAGCTTGGACAACAGTGATCATTAGGTGTCGAGTTGATCACAATCACCTATAGTAGTTTTTTACGAAAAGCCAGAGCAGATGAGAGAGCGTTTAGTTGTGAACGTTTACGATAATGTCACTCATATTAAATCACGAAAGTATTCATATATATATATATATATATATATATATATATATATATATATATATATATATATAACACTATGCTGCCTAATTTTTTGCAGAAACTATGTCTTCCAGTAAAAAGCGGTCCTACAAAGTAGCATTTCTGTGACGGGGCTTCACGAACTTTGATGATAAAATGGTTGATACGCCGCAAGGTGTTTTGTGCAGCAAAGCGCTCACGGCGCAGAGCATGAAACCCGGCAAATTGAAAGACCACCTCAAAAGAAATCATTCTCCGTTAGTAGGAAAAGCTATCACATTTGTCAAATGGAAAGAAGCGCTACAATGTTCACGCCTGGGTACGTCGGACATTTTTCAGTCAACAGAAGCTAATCTGAAGCTTCCTACCGTATCGCTCTTCGAATAGTCAAAAACAAGAAACCGCATACTGTGGAAGAGGCTCTCATCAAACCTTGCATAACGGATGCCGTGAAGCTCGTTTTTGGACAGCAACATGCGAAAATGATAAGTATGATATCACTTTCTAACAACACCATTTAAAGTTGTATCGAGGACATGAGGAAGGATATTTTAAACACAATGCTCAACGAAATAATGTCAAGTCCTTTCTTCGCAATAAAGTTAGATGACGAAGGTTGGTAGATGCATGCATTTCGTATTTTCCCCTCAATGCCATTTACAATAACCGATATGCATAGATATAGCTAACAGCGGGTGCAACCAGACAAGCATAAAGTGCAGAACGAATGACGGAAGTTCACACCTACGTCCAAGGCAGCTTTAGGCTGACAAACAATTGTTTCTGTACACGCAAGGCTGGCTTAATTCGGCTTATAGCGATAGCCTCAGCAAACCGAAGGAAGCTGGGACTAGTATGACGTAACACAAGTTTAAACGCTGAGCCCAGCTCTATCTGGTGACCCGAGTCTAATAGGTGTTTGCCTATCGAGGAAGCCGGCGGTCTGCGCGAACATGGAATCTGACGTGGGTAGGCAATCTGAGCAACGTTATGTTGAACACATCTTAAGTGCATGTTGTTGTGTCGGAGCCCCACGACTGCTTCCACCCATTAACCGCAGTGAGAACACCAACGACCGGGTAGAAAATAATGTTCACGCCGCACGCCAAACCGGCCACCAAACGTCTGTGTGTGAAACTCAATGACATGATTCAAATTAGGGCATATACACAGGCTATGCAGAAAGGCTGACAATCGATCAATCAAAGCTAGTCATTCCCGTGGCGAAGGATCGATACGATGTCTCACGAACGAGCGAAATGTACAGAGTAAGGGAAAAACCATTAAGCGTAAGATTCAGTGTCAACCCAAGCTAGTCACAAAGGTGAAGTAATAGAAGCGTATGTGGGGAACCGTAAAAGAGGACGGGGTGAATAGGGATGAGTGGAATAAAACTCACAAAACCACGGGGAGTGGTGGAGTACTCTTGCCTCCGCTATAACACATGTTCTTTTATTCCGGAAGTCAGCGTTCTATTAGTTCTGCCTATGTAACTGCTTCCGCAGTCACATAATTAAGAGTGAATTACCACTCAGGCCAATCCTTTCAATGATGAACGCGCCCCAGAATAAACTCGAGTTACCTTATCCCATGTCTACATGAATAACCAAGACAAGGATGTAGCTTCAAAGAAACCAAGAGCACGACGATAATTGATGACGTGCTGTTGGTAATGATATCAACGTTTCTTCTCAAAACGCACATATTCGATGCGGGGTAGACGCCTTTTAAGCACAGATAGAGATCGCACGGTGCATGTGCCAATGTGCCTGATACTACTTGTTGAACGACAAGTAATTTGTTTAACAGAGACTGAGCGGTTGTCGCAGGAACTTACAGAGATCGTCTTGTCCTCCGACCCACCGCCGTCGAACGAATGCGTCTCCAGAAGGCAGCTGCTTCCTTTCGCTGCCTCATTTGTATCTGACAGGAATGAAAAAACAAACAAATCTGAATGTAACGTAGTCGACAGCGTTGAAAAGTAGCCTCGGTACTAAATTCGTAAGATTGGGGACCAGATAGAGACAAATGAGGCGGCCAAATGAAAACAGTTACTTCAAGGTGAGATAACACAGTTTGAAGCCGGGAAACGAAACAGGCGAAACGAAATAGGAAATCCATGATGAATTGAACTAACACGCCTCTCAATTAGGTGCTCATCAAAACCGAGATCTGAAAGAACAAGATTAGTTACATTCCATTAATGACCTAGGTGAAAGCTAATGACATGAAGTTCATCATACTTAAACTGTTAAAGTATCTAGTACAAAGAGTTAGGTTTGGACCAATAAAGTGGAGCTCAAAGTAATTCAGAGACACACAAACCCTTAAAGACGACGACATTAAGTAAAGGCTTGTTTCAATTAGAGTGCACTGTCTGAAGGACCAAGCTCGTAATCAGAAAATCCTCAAGATAAAAAGTTTGATGATAAGCAGCGTCCAAAAGTGATGAAATCAAAAAAACGCGAAAGCCTTCGCAAAAGGTTTGAAACTAAGCGGTTGATTAAACTGGTAGCAGAAATCGCCGAAATAACAACGGGAAGTACAGGATCAAACTATCAAACGCATGGAAGGTAGTCTTAATCCGAAAAGTTTGAAGAACGTCAGTTGACATACACGATTGAGGAGGGAGTATCAAACAACCGCCTTCAATGCCAAGTAATCTAATGCAAACGCCAATTAAGGTAAACCAGTTAGGATCTTATTGTATCACTGGAAGCGGCTCTATGACCTGTAACAATGACTAAGGTATGACATGTCGGCTGGTGGCCGAGTAGTCTGTACGCCTGGCTTGCAATCTTAAGCTCACCGGTTGGAATCCGTGTAGGGGCGGGCGTCCTCGTGGCAGCGAAGCCCCGTTACCGCGTACAGATGAAGATGTACTTCACTTTTTAATGTATGACATCTTCCTGTTGTCGTGATCATCATTCCATATAAATTGTCTACTGCTTCGTTTGGCCTAACGTCAAGAGCGAGACGTTAGCTGTAAAATATACTAGCCGAACATCTTTACACGGTTATGAAACCGCGGTTCCTTGATCGGTTTCAAGAGAACTGTAAAGCGTTGACTCAACCGCTATTTTAGGTCTGGTGACACAACCGAAGTGAGTAAATAGGATGAATAACTATGGGTGAACACCTGAAGGGGAGCAAATGTTTATTCATGTCGTGGCACAACTGCTAGAGGCGTCTATCCAATCCGCAAAGGAAGAGCACAACACTAGACAGAAGCAGGGAGTTCTATGATCAAATTCCTTTGTTTAACACAATCAGCCTTGTACTTCGATCGTTCAATAAAGATTTCTCCTGATAAACTTGCTGCGCACCAAGAATCTCGAAACTCTGCGCATATACCAGTCTTTATACACATAGTTATCAAACAGATGTACATGTTTCTTCCATAGAGTTAAGCAGTTGAACAGATCACGTTTGTAGATGTCCTAAGATTGGGCCATAAGCCATTACCTGACCTGCGAGACCAGAGCCTCATCGTCAATAAAGTGTATTCCATTTAGAAATGACTTCATAATTGGAAAAGGGTAAAAGTCAGATGATGCAAGATTAAGAGAGTATGGTGGATGAGGAAATATTGCAGAGCCATATGGCTGCGCTTTTTTCTGGGTTACCATCGTGTCATAACCAAGAGCATTAGCATGGAAGAACGGCTCTCCTTGCTGATAGCCATCTTCAGTTGATGTCATATTGAAGCGTCGTATGCTCCGATAATAATGATGCCTTCGGGAAGGAAATTCATCAGTATTACTCAATACTGTTCCAAGAAGACCGTGAGTATAACCTTGCAGGCTGAAAGTTGTACACGTGCCTACTTTAAAGGTGGTGTGTCAGCAAGTTTCCACTGTTTTGTCCAGGCTTTGGTTTCTGAAGTACAGTGAGATTCCCATATTTCATCTTGTGTAATTAGTTGGCTGAAAATGTATGGTGGCTTTGCTGACACATGATCAAATGATTCCAAGAACTTGTGACCCATGCAAACCTTTTTAAAAATGCGGGCGGCCGGTAAACCTTAGGAGTGCTTTCTCGCATACGCAAATGCTCATGGATAATATTTGCCAAAGATGTCACACAAATCTCGACATTTTTGCTAATAGGCGAAAGGTTACAGGATGATCATGAAGAATGGTGGAATCCACTTGTTTGGTGGTCTCCTTATCAACAGCAGAAGGAGAAAGACCGGAAATGAAAGCTGTATCCACTGAATTCCTAGTACATTTAAACTGACGATGCCAATTTTTAACAATGTCATTAAATGGCGCATTTCCGACAAATATACCACTTTCACTTCATCATACATTCAACATGGTGCATGACTCTAGAGGTAGAGAAGATGAATGCTTTGAATTTAATTGGCTACATAATGCAACATACCCACAAAACAGAACCCACAAAAAAGCAGTTGCTTGTATGGAGTTGCAAATTGACAGAATACTCCCATATATATATATATATATATATCCATAATGACTGGCTTGCCGAACCACCTCCTCGTGGTGTCAGTTGGGTGGTTCGGGGTTACCCCGTTCCAGCGAAGTGTTTGGCGAAAATGTTCAACCTCGGTGGGGCATTGTATTCCAGCAATTGTGTTGCTTTCATGGGGAGGATTGGGCCCCTGTTTGGTGATCTAACAAACAAAGACACATAAACGGAACATTCAGTCAACGTCTCCCAATGGACGCGATTTTTTAAATTCGCCCCGCTGCTTTGCGGGTAGGTTGTGTAGCCAAAGGCTCGGGGTGAAGTCCCTTAAGTCAACTCCCTACTTCGGCTTGGGCAACCGGGTTCTATCAAGTCCTCACACAAAACCATGGACTGTACTACAACGTGCTCATCAGCTACTGTTTTTGAGTCTCACATTCACGCGATTTCATCACACGCCAATTGGTTGTTTGTTAACAATCCTCATTTTCCGTTACCCGATTCATATGTTCAACAATCTGGCTGCGATTCCGGTTGCGCCGTGGACCAAGGAGTTCAACCGATGGCTCTGCTTCGTCCCCGATCCTCCTTCCGTCTGGCTTGATTCAACGTTCGGACACTCATGCAGATTGGACAGCAAGCTGGTTTAGCGCACACCCTAGAATCCCTCGATATTGTTGTCTGCTGCCTTTCAGAAACCCGGTTGCATGATCCCAGCACTGCGCATATATTGACACCCCCCAATGACCACGAAGCCAGATATCACCTGCGTCTTTCTGGAGATCCAGAAGCAGCCTCAGCGGCTTTTGCTGGTGTAGGTATAGCACGAAGTGGCAAGGCCGAGGCGGCACTACTGGACTGGTTCCCAATTAACAGGCGACTATGTGAAGTTCGGCTTCGGGGCTCATTTAGAATCAACAAGCACCGCGACGAGAGACACAACTTGTTTGTGATCTCTGTGTACGCTCCAACTGACTGTAGTGACGACTCGGTCAAGAACGAATTCTACCGGGATCTACATCAGCTCTTGACTAATGCCAAAGTCGGATGTCGTTATCCCTGCTGGAAATTTTAATGCACGGGTTGGCCGCCTGTTACCATACGAACGCCACCTTAGTGGTCATCATGCGCTCGATACAAACCGCTCTGAAAACAGTGGGAGGCGTCTCACATTGTGCGAAGACAACCACCTGTTTCTCTCGAGCATTAACTTCAAGAGTACGAAGAAGAGTTCCGCAACGTGGTGTCCCCCTTCGTTAACACATCCCTGGTCTCAAATTGATCATATTGCAATTAGCTTCAGATGGCGCGGCAGCGTACTGGACTGCAGATCCTTTTGATCCACCTTCGCTGACTCAGATCATGCACCGGTCTGCGCGAAAATCAGTATGTGTTTTGGCGGGTCCCGAAACACGAAGCACCGCAAGATTGATGTAAACAGATTAACTGATTTCTTTGGCCAGGAGAGCTATCAGTCTTCACTGGTATATGCACTCAGTTGCAATCCACCGCAACACGTGGAGCAACACTGGCATTGTATGCGGAAAGCGATGACCATTTCCGGACAGTCAAGATGTGGCCTAGCTCGACGCCCCTTAAAGGATTGGATCTCTGCTCGTTCTCTGGAGCTGTTCGAACGGCGCGAACGATATCCCTGCGGAATCAGATTTCAACGAGCCGCACCGTTCTGCCAACCGGCTGCTGACGCAAAACCTACCCAAGGATTGCGAGACATGGTGGTCTGAGTGTGCTTTAGAGATGGAGAACGCTGATCTCTTGCAGGCTTTTCCAACTCATTCGGTCCATTGGCCTCAGGAAGCCTGGTGTCAGGGAGGTCATTTGTGAGGTGGATGAGTCTCCGATCATCAACAAACAAAGGCATATGGACCGCTTGGCTGAGCACTTTCACTCGCAGTTCAACTGGCCTCCACCATCCATCAGTACACCTTGTTGTCCACCCTAGCTCGTTTCACTGAATCCACTCAGCGAAGCGGAAGTCTGCCTCGAGATTCGACGCTTGAAGCGATTCAAGGCTGCCGGCTCAGACGGACTTCCTCCAGAGCTGTTCAAGTACAGAGGTGTGGCGATCATTAACCAGGTGACCGCGCAGTTCGCAACAATGTGGCATGAAGAGAAAGTGCCTTCCTCTTGGGGCGAATCAGTTATTGTCCCGATTTTCAAGAAAGGCGCTCGCACTTCATGTGTTAATCATTACGGAATCAGTCTTATTTCGGTTGCCTCAAAGCTATTGGCATCCATTCTGCTTCGCATACTATCCACAATACGTGAATCATCCTACCGTGAAGAACAAACTGGTTTCCGTCCTGGCCGCGGATGCGTGCATCAAATCTTCACGCTCCGCCAGCTGTTGGAACACCGCCACATTTATCACAGGCCCACTATCGTTGCATTCCTAGACATGCGTGCCGCTTTTGACTCTCTTGATCGACCTGCTTTCCTCTTCAACTTCGCAATCGAAGACGTTCTGTCGAATGCCCTAGAAGGTTTCCAACATTTTGGCCTAGAGCTTCTACCGGGTAAGCGCGCGACCGACTTAGATTATGCTGAGGATATCACCTGACTTGGTGACGATCCTCAGGGTATGCAACTCATTCTGGATCGTTTGGCGGTTGAAGCATCTAAGTATGGCATGAGCTTCGCCCCATCGAAGTGTAAAGTACTGCCCAAGAATTGGCTTTCACCTGTTTCCGTGCTCACTCACCAAGGTGCACAACTTGAACAGGCAGATAGTTTCGTCTACCTTGGGAGCTGTATTTCTACTGACGACACTACCAGCAAAGAAGTTTCTCTTCGCATCGCTAAAGCCCAATCAGTATTTGCCGATCTGAGGCATTTGTGGCGTCGTCACGACGTCTCATTCTCGCTAAAGTGCCGCGTTTACTGCTCATCAGTTCGCTGAGCATTGTTGTATGGGAGTGAGTCCTGTCCGATTCGCGTGGAAGAGATGCGTCGTCTTTCAGTTTTCGAAAACGGTTGCTTAAGGAGGATTGCTCGTGTTTGGTGGCAACGTCGAGTTGACAGTAATGAGGTTCGATATCGCGTCTTGGGGAATGCGAGTATTCCCTTCAACAAACTGCTTTTGCTGCGCCAGTCGAGATGACTCGGGCACGTCCTACGCATGGCAGCTGAGTGTCCACCGCGTTGCGCTCTATTCGCACGTCAAGGACCTGGCTAAAGGTAACCGCGTGGCAATCAGCCTTGCACTTGGCGACAGCACATGAAATCGCTGATGTCGTGTCTAGCCGCAGTTGGATCCGTAGGTCTTCCAGGATGAGGACCTAAAGATGAGTAGAGCCAATGGCATAACGCTCTTGAAGACATGGCTCGCTAGCGGAATCAGTGGTAGAATTGTGTACAGAATTGTATTGATTCACATGTTTAATATTGCATACATTAAAAATGACAAAAAAAAAGAAAAATCGGCGTGTGAAAAACAAACTAAAATGGTTTGTACTACTTTTTGTCAAAATGCTCCTTGCTTCTTGTGGCACAGTAGCTAAAGTGTGTTGCTCGCCTTCAACTACTATGCCAGGAGGATTATGACATGATGACTTCACTTCACCCGCCAATCTCCATAGTTTTTGTTATCTCTATGTCTATTTGCTAGACTGTTGAAATTATATATATATATATATATATATATATATACATATATATATAATGGAATATGGTCACGAGAATTCTTTATGGAAGGATTCAGGTAGTTATCGATAAAAGTCAAAATTTAGTGCACACGACAATTCGATATCATCGCACTGTTCTAACGAAGGAAATTTTCTCCAGCAGAATGTAACTGTGTATTTTAAAACGAATAGAATCTCAGCGTTATTGCGGAACGAAACCCGTCGAAGGGAACCCCGGAGACGATTTTACGGCATGTTAGTGACATTTTCGCATGAAGTTTCTTTAAACGTTCAGAGTAGAAGGATTTTAATGGTGGAACAGGGAGACATTACCCACACAGGGTGCTGCGGGTGATGCGCACGCGTCCGTCGGCTACGTGAGACCTCACACCAGCGTCGCATGCCTTTTGACAGCGTTCTAGGAAGTGAACCTACGTCGAAAGTCAGCACACACAATGCTCACTCCTTTAGAAGCTAAGGGACTGATGTAGTAAGCAGCTTGCACGTGAGCATGTGACAATGTTTTTCAAGCACGATTCCGTGGATAATATAGCCGTCAAGTAGGATGAAAAGGTGCCTGTAGGAGGCGCAAATAAGGGTCAAGTAAGGGAATCAGTCAGCCAACGTCCTTCAACAACGATGGATGAGAGCAGGGAGATCTGCAGCACGCGTTCAAAATAGATTTAGGTGAAGTATAATTAGGAAGGTTATGGCATCATTAGCAATCGGTCAAAATTCAGAAGCTCAGTTTAGTCCAGTACGTACACAATCCGGAGATTCACCCAAACTAGGGTCGCTTCGATCAGGACAGACAACGAGCACGATGGGACAACGACAGGAGGGAAAATGGCACTTTGTCTCTCAAACCTAGAAGTAGATCAAGTTTACCTAGCCAAAAACCGATGGTGTTTCGTATAAAGGTCTAAGGGAGCGTGGAAACCAGGAAGCTGAGCATCTTAAGGGGGGCACGGATGTTAGCAAACCGGCGTTGCCCCTAAACGCCGTGTATGAGCAATGTACCGATTCTCTAGGAAAGGAAAGACATTTAGCAGCGACGGAAACCATGCTGATGAGTTCAGTTTCCGCCAACATCGCGCCCAGATTGAATCCTTGGAAGGATCCGGAATGCTATCGGTTGAGTTCAGCTCATGTGGACATAGGCAGATGACAACCGCCCGTTCGATGAAGCAAACAAAAGCGGCACCGGACTGCAGAGACTCATCACTGACGGGATTCAGGTGTCAGTGCCGGCCTCGGAATAAGCAAAGGAACCTTACATGACCCATCAGATATCATGATAGTGAAACGGAACATCATGATGGTTCCTCGACACCCAATCACAAACATGAAAGTAAAGTGTATTCGCAGTTCATTAACCTTACCAGTGAGATCACTCGGAATTGACGAGCTAGGGGGTTCCGTGACGCGCGGTGGCTTGGAATCAGGATCTGATTCAGACGGGAGCAAATCGTGAATGTCAAAATCTGTTGACTTGGTCTCCGCTATTGGTTCTGCAGTTGCCGATTGAGGCTTGGAGTGCACAATGCTTAATTCGTCTGTGAAATTAGAGGATGCCTGCTGGCGTCCAACCGTGGGACGGTATCGACTCGTCCGTGTGCGGCTAGCACCATTCGCACCGGGGTTGGAGGACGCATCGCGTCTGTGAGGTTTGTGATCATTGTCCTGCGTTGGGGGTGACAAACAGAAAAATACGAGTGGTGTAGTTTGAGAAGGAGAAAGTTACTCGAGAAGTTTTAACGCGTCACAAAATTATAGAGATATCATGAGAGGGACTTAAACTAACTACCAAGAAGGCATTGTGCTACCATTTCAATTGTTAGACAACGTAGTAACTGAAAACGATGAGATGTTATAATACGTCTTAGTTGTACCGACAGTCGGGACCGCCGAAACGCTCTCCACCGATATTGCTCAACGCACATCGTAGCTAAAAGAATTCGGATTGGTACGGTCTAAAATACATGGACACCAGAAGCTAGCTGAGACTAGAGACGAAACGCGTAACCTCGTACGACTCCAAATTGACACATAAAAGAAAGACTAGCCGATCGCAAGAGTTCGTTTACTGACTCGACGCAGGGCGAAGCATGTTTCTTACGCCTCCGCATTCATTGACCGATAGTATAGCAGCGTAATAAATGAGTTAGCAAGCAGCAGTAACGATACTGAGAATAGCTCAGTAGGGTTATTGGGGCCATAGATACAGCGGTGTCTTGCGGAGGACTCAGTTGGTCCACCGCAGCAGCGGAAATGAGGAGAGGTACACACTTTCTAAGTCACGTTCCATGAACACAGTCCTTATAGCTTAATCGATGGTGAAACAAAAATGGAAAGGTGACAGCCGGCATCCACGCTGCTGGAGATATTGAAAAGCGCCCTAGACAGTGAAACTTCATCGAAAGTCATTACTTACACACAGTGCACACTCCCTTAAAAGCCAATGGACTGATGGATTAAACGGCTTGCAAGTGAGCACGTAACAATGTTTTTCAAACACGATTCCGTGGATAATGGTATTTACTACCGACAAAATGATGGTGTAGCTAAGGGATCGCCCATAGGTCCGTTGTTGGCTAATGTCTTCATAGCGAAATTGGAGAATACAAAGCTACATGCGGAGATCACGGCCTTCGAATAGTATCACCGCTATATGGACTTGTATTGACCGATCAGTTTATTGACCTTGAAGCTGTTAATGATCGTTTTAATCGAGCCCAGGCAGCAGTGCAGTTTATCTGCGAGAAAGAGTTGAACGATCAGTTACCCTTTCTTGATATCTTGTTAACTAGAAGGGCAGACGGTTCGAACCAACGGTAGGTCTACAGGAAGAAAACCTGGAGCGGCCAGTATACGAAGTTCCACAGTTTCGTTCCGTTGATATATAAGTGAAAGTTAATTCGCTGTCTAACTCAAAGGGCCAGCATGATCCGTTCTGAAGACACGTTGGATAATGAGTTAGCGTTCATTCAGAATTTGCTGAGCGAAAATGGATCTCCTGACCGTTTCATTCTTACGAAAATGCAAAACAAACCCCACCTGAAGCAAGCTCAAACAGCGGAGAAGAAAGAGCTTTTCATACGACTACCTTTCAATGGGGACGCAGCTGCTGAGCATTTAACTAAAGCCTTTCAGCAGCTGTTAAGTCAACTTCCTCAGCAGCCAAGCTTAAGTGTAACTTCGCAACGGAGCCACTCATCTGAATTCACAATAAAAACAAGTTGCCGACGCTGACCGCTTCTATGGTCATTTATCAGTAAGTGTGCGCCTATGGCGCCACTTGCATGGGTCAAACGGCGCGGTACCTGTAGAAACGTATTAATGAATACCTTCCACGATGGTTGCATCGAGGCTATACTGGGGCTATAACTAGCTCTGTTATGGCTCATCTTGTTGATAGTGGGGAGCATGGCGTTGACCCAATTCGTGCCTTTCGAATATGATACAGGGTCCCTGCACTCCAGTCGAAAGGTCTGCGCCTCCGCACCCTTGCTACTGCCGAGGCGAGCAGCACGTGGTTGTATCAACCAATTTGGTGCGCACAAAAGAAGCTGATCAAAACTCTTAACCTACCTTGGCCAGACAAGTCGGACGATTCTGAGGTCAACTGCACTCGTTCAACTACACCTCTAGCTTACTTTGCCATTTGTTGCTGGTGTACGCCACTGGTCGGCACGTGATCGAATCCCAGTTGAACTGATCGAATCCACTTTTACGCCCATTGCTATTTTACTCATATGATTGTACAGGTATGACGATGAATCATCGAAAACAAATGTTCACCTTTATTCTTGATAATTAAACGAGAATTTCCAGTTACTGATATAGAAAAGCGGCGAGAGCTTGCCATAAACGTGCGTAAAGCACTCTAGTAATGATGGCAGGGGTCATTTTAAAGCACTCGTTGTGATTGGATTACGACGCGCCATCTCAATGTGGAATGTGATTCCTATTGAAGTGAGCCGTGGTCAATTCGATCACCAGGACCGTAGCTGATGAAGCGAATGGACGTTGGGCGTTGTACACCCGAAAATACTGCACTCCACAACCGGTTACGAACTTAGCTGATCCCATCAGGTAGAGAGGGCGACAAATGCGACTAGACCTATCATTAAGCGGCGTTTATGACCGGATTCCTTCCAAGGTATGCATTTCAGACACTACCTTGGCCTGTCTGGATGCGTCGACGATATGGAAGCGGAACTCTGGGAAGAATAAAATTAAGTGAACGGGAAACATTTAGCCTCTATTTGGAATCTTCGAAGTGGGCCGCTACTCATTGGACTGATCTAACTCTCGCGGAGGGGCGATTTACGAAAAGATTACATACACAGCATGCGGTTATTGAACTTCAAACTCTTAGTTGAACAAGCACCGTGATTTTGTTGGAGAGATAGCTGTGATCAGATAGCTAGATGATATAAGTAGTGTGGATGGAAGCGTTGGCAAGCCCAATAGCCCAAGCGGACTAACCGACGTTGAGCACATGCGCAAATCTGTTTCCACATATGACTGAAACCACGTATGCCTCCGGAGGCCACACCGATCTGTACAGTAACTGCTTCAGTGGTCCAAACACAGCTGGTTATGCGAGTGAACCAATTGACTATTTGAAATAACTGTTTGATAATCTCGAAAAGAGGTGGCGCATCCAACAGACGGCGCAAGAGCACACAGCGACTTTAATGCAATATAAAACGTTCAATCGTTAGAAAAGGCACGGAATTGCATTAGAAACCATGAGATCTGCATCAGCCGCAAAGTCTGAGGTCAGTCGATGATCTGATTTGGGTATCGTCGTAAAATAATTAGCAAAGCCAACGGGTTGCATGATGGTTTCAATCACAAAGCTGAAGAGAAAAGGAGGTAAAGTAGCCAAGCTGTACTACACTTGTAGCCGTCACACTCCAGAGAGCTCTTCATAGACCTGTACAAGATACACATTGCAGAATAAAATATCCGTCCAGCAAGGCTGTCACCGACGGACAGATGCAAAGAAAGCACGATTACGTCTATCAAGTGTGGCTTCCAGGTAAAGAAAGACCCAAACTGCCATTATGCAGTAGCCAACATCGAGGCTGACGAACCATGTGATGTGCATTGTCATCTCAGTTAGGCTAAACTCGGCTAACTGTCTGTCAGACGGGCGACTGACACATGAAACCTCCCGTGTGATATGCAATAACTGGCTGCGCTTGATCTGAATGTTGACAAGGTACCTACCTGTCTAACACCCTCCACCTCGATTACTGGCTCTAGGAGACTGTGTATCGTTGCTGGGGAGATAAGATGCACGGCCCTCGTGTTCGTGCTAGGCTCAAAGAGTGGTTCCCCAGTGTGGAGCGGAGTACGGTCTAGATACCGCCTTGTGTACGTCTGATACGCACGATTCCCTACATAGAGAGTCAGGAATGCTGCCGCTGTGCATGTTGAAGGAGCAGGGGCCGGGTCCGTTGATGAAACGAGGCTTCCATCCACATGTCTCTCGATCTTATTCCTCCGAGTTTACACTGGATATGGGGTGTGCAGATGGAGCTGTGGATGGTGCAGCGCAAGCCACCCATAGTCCCACTGTAGGCGTAGTGAAAGGTAAATCAGGGGCCGGATGCTGCCAATTAGGTTCTAGAGATTGGCAAAACTCAACAATGCCGCCAATGACTTTTCCAAGGAGATTGGAGATAGCCTGTGTTCTAAGAGTGCCAGCATGGAGGTGAGCTACCGGAGCATGGTGAGTGGGGGCAGATTGGCTGCACTAGCAAGGAGACCAATCCATGAAATAAAGGCAAACGGATTTCTTTTAAACCCTCAAAAAGGAGCGAGTGCGGTTGGAACACAGTTATGGATATTCCGCATAGAAATTTACAAAGCTGAAGAGAAAATATTGAAAACTTAGGTTTGTTTGCACTGTATCTTAATTATTCAATAGGATCGTTTTACTATACGACGTCGTGAGCATCAGTGAAGTGAAATAAGCCAACGTAACGCTAAGCTCACCTTTAAGTGTTTCAGTGGTTGCTGGAGGCGGAGTTCGACCGACAGCAAGAGGCGTCAGAGCACGAATGGATTTCCATGGATAACGGGTAAAGCACGAATGGAGTGAGAGCTTCCTAGTTTGCATATGGTCTGTCTTCGGGATGATAGGGTAAGACACTAGTAGCATAGTTAGAAACGATATGTAATCCTCGGTAGTGTCAATCAGAGTGCTTGTTTACGCGAGACGCCTTATCATGAAGGGACATTCGCAGAGTACGGCAGGAGTGAACCAACATGAACTAACGTACAAACTCGATCTGTGGCTGCGAAACCATATGTGCACGTTAGGCCACGATACACAGGTCATTGTGATTGCAGTCATACAAGTGGTAAACGACGGAGGCTGAAGCAGGGAGCTGTTAGATATTCCCCATTCTATGCGATTTCCCCTGAAAGAAGTATATTCCATGCAAGCAACCAATCTCGACGGAGCCAAAAAACCAGCCAATGTAAAAAACATGTTTCGTGATAACTACTGGAACGGAAAGAGTAGTATAAATGTCCAGCCATATTTATTGCTAAGTCAAGAAACGCTCGATTTTCGTCAAGGCCATTTCGACCGATGACGAAGTAGGCGCATGTGATGCGTGACATGATTGAATTACGTTGAGACGGCTCAATGCTAGAGCAGAATATCACTAAATCAAATAGCTATCCGGTTGAAAGTACGAGTTTTATGGACAGCGGATCACGATGAATTATTCAAAATTGAAAAGTACAAGAAAGTATTGAGATGAAGCGGCATGAAGAACATGAGATAACAAATAAATGTCGAAAAATATGATAAAGTACCACATTTGGGTGTTATCTTGATTTGTCTGAATCGAGGCGAAGCAGTTTGAAGCATCAACCTAGTGGATGGCTGGTGCGTGAGCATATAGAGAAGGAAGCCTTGAGTGCAACACTCACCGATGGATATGTTGGATTCGTTGGATTAGTTCTCCTGTTCAAACCGCATTTGCATGCAACGCGTCAATAAGCTTAAGTGTGTGTCGAATAGAAAATAGCTCACTACCAGTGACTTTCAGTTAGTTACCCTGTTAATATCTGCAATGCTCCGGTACGATGATATTCCTCCGCAAAGATAAATCGAATGTTCAACCATAGACATGTACTGATTGGCGAATATCCGAGTATTGATGTAACTGGAACCAATACACTTCATGTCGTGGCAGCCATGCGCAAGGCTTACCTAGAGTCAAACGAATGGTTTCCAAGTTTGTTCCTACGTTCTACCTCAAACGGCATAAGGTTTTTTCAATAAATGCAACCAGAACCAGAGTTCAGCTGCTTACGCAACAATCGCAATTCCTAGAAATCCTCCTATTTTGAATTCAGCGTTTAGTAGGCAACCGCGAACAGGTGGATGAGAATACAATTCCAAACGAATGTATGACACGATTGTGCATTGTCCTGCCATATCAGATGCGTCGTGTTACCAAGAGTCAGTCATAGTAGCAACTAATGGGAAAGCCGAATTTGTCAGTACTGATCAACCGCAAACTGACACAGTGGACCACTTGTTGTTGTTGTTGGTGGTGATGGCGGCGGCGGCGGTGTGGTGGTGGTGTTGTATCAGCAACTGACATCGGTAAGATTAATAGTAACTCGAGATAAATCGGTGAAAACCAAAGCATTCAGATAAGAAAGGCCAATAGCTGAAAATGTAGGAACGAATACAACAACGTCACTGACTCTCGAGGCCAAGATACAAGGAGATGAGTATCGGAACCGATTCAGTAATTTGATGAGCTTCTTCTTTTCATCTCAGTAGCAGTCCACTCTGAGTTTTACCCAAGCACGCGCCGCAATAGGAAACACGACGAGGCAGTCAATTAGCCGGCATGCGAAGGAGCACATGAGAGAGCCAACGACAGCAATTCGAGTTCAAAGAGCGGTCAAATGAGGCAACGGATAGTCTAGTGCCGAACACGGATGACGAACTTCAGAACTAATCAACCGGTACACCCACCAGAGATGAATGGCAATCCACAGTAATTGATGATTAGAAACGACAAATGCACAAAGGCCAGGAACACAATGTGCTTGGTCACACTCGCTGCACCGAAGCTGTCGTAGCGCTACCCTACCTCCGCTCTCTGGCTGGTGCTCCGTCCAACCCAGCAAAGGAAAAGAGAACACAAGTGTTGTGTCGGAGCCCTGCGACTGTTCCCACCCACTAACGGTAGTGAGAACACGAACGACCAGGATCAGAGATTTAGGGGTTCCTTTACATAGGGAAACCAGTTCGTTATATGGCATAACGCACAAACATGAAAGCCAACCAGAGTGCGGAAAGCATGTGGACAATTAAAGCCAATAAGAACGGAACAAATGAGGAACCAATCAAGTGCACACAAAGGAGGTAAGGTGAGAGTGACAGAGCTGAAGGCAAAAACAACGACTCCAAATAGTCAATGGGGATGACGAAATGATGCGTTAAAGTAAACATCGGTGAACTTCCATAGCAGAACGAAAGTCTGCAGTCATGAGCGGCTTTACAAGCATACCTGTATTTTTCTTGCACCTCCAACAACAAGCCTCGCCAAGCCGGGACATATGAATGACAGACAATTGTTATATATGTAAATCAAAGGTCCTCGCTTTCAACTACACGTTGCTTAGCAGACTGACATTCATCCGTCTACTCACGTCTTCGCGGTCTTTAGTAATTGACTGCAACCCAGCGCAAGGCTGCCACATAGCGACCCGTGCAATGATGACGAATTGCTTCGGTCAGTTGCACTCGAGCAAACAACAACCTGTGTCGCAGATGGCGATATGATTTCGTCAGCTTTCCGCGTGACCTGCCTTAGGCCCGCATCGCGTCTTGAAATCGTGTCGCCGCGTTCATCCGTTGCGGCCGCCTAACAGAAGCGTTGTGAACACTTCCCATCCATGATGAACTTACAGTCCACCGTAGATGGCAAAGAGATACCGTGTACATGAACTGAGACTATGTCAAAGATGATCCACGATCGTCCTCAGATGCACAATCAAGCAACGCCAATCAGCTAATGGAGCGCAGTGAGAAAAGGCGGATGGATACGTGTCATTTTTAACACGATTCGAAACATTTTCATTTCCTGGCCGAATGGTGAAAAGAGCATAAAAACAACAGCGGAGAAATCGATAGGGAATGGTGAGGTGTAGTTCTATCGACATCTCCAGATACTACGGATACTGATGGTCGTGCATAGCTTCATCGAATCGATGTACTGCTAATTTGTGTGCAAGCTACCCCTGCTTCTGGAAGGACTAAGGGAGGTGAGAACTGCCCGTAGCCTACACCGGGCACTAGGCAAACAACGTTACACGTGTCCGTGAGGAGTGTCGCTTGTTCGACTTGAAGCTAGGGATTGTGAAGTTCCAGGTGGCGTCGCATAATAAGCGGCATGAGTGGTTCGTACACGAGTAGATACGAAAGGCAGAGGAACTGTAGTTGATGGTTCGGAGGAGATAGTCATTGCATTTAATTTGCGTTGAATTAACCATATGTCCTTTAGCGGTTTTATTCAACGTATTCCATAACAAAGAACATTATGCAGACGGTGACCTTCAATGGCTGCGGGCGCAACTACCACGTCACAGCTAGGACCATTACAATCACAGCTAAAAACTAAAATAAATAAAGTGTCAGCTGCAAGCCGTAACGGCGCTTCGCTGCCGTGCAACCACCATGTCACACGCGGGCTGAGTATACCGCAAGAACGCCCACCCCTACGCGGATTCGGACCCGCCCCGCAAGAGCACGAGACAAGCTCGTTACCACTAGGCTACGGGCCGACACAAGCACAGCTACAGCTAGGACTTCATATAGGTTGTTATGAAGACAGGTGACCACAGTGGGGTGGAGACAAGCGGGAAGGTACCTGGATAGATGCAAGGGGTCAATAAACGCGATGAACAAATCACGAATTCACAAATAAGCCAATGGAACAGGTAGCTATATATTTTATAGACCAGTGTTAGATGTTGCAATCTCCTTGGCCGGGATCCAAACAAAAGACGTGGAAATCGCACGTGACAGCACATATATACAGCGAGTGGCCCAAAATCTACTACTGAATGCTGTAGATCACCGAAATATTTAGGTTCATTTACGTTTTTAGTTTTTATGACCAGTTCGCGTGATCAACCGATGTACGAATTTATCGAACACGTGTCTCGAAATTGCGACATAGAGAATTTCGATTGCGTGATTTGCAGACGCAATGCTCGTTAGTGCTTTTCAATGACCGATTTCACACCAAAAGGTGGCAGGGTAGAAAAGCAGATAATTGTTACAAAGTCGTTCATCATTAACAGTCGATCGGAAACCGGTGCAAAGCTATTGAAAAGGATTGAGCGTCTGCTCAATTGAGAGAACTGAACTACAATAGGGAGGGGGCGCAGAGTTGAACGAACCTGTTTCTCTGAACAGATGGCAGTACGTAAGGACAAAATCTAAAAGCGTGTGGAGTGTCCGACCTGTGAATTTATGTGTCGGTTTGCAAAACGGGTGGGTACGTATGGAACACCAAAGTGATAGTAAAACGAACGGAGACCTAATGTTTTTGCTATCCCTTTATGTGTATTCAAATACAACTGTAAAAAACAACCACAAGAAAATTGTGTACAAACTACTATCGATGCAGGGAGTTATGATAAGCGAAAACTTGGAAAGCCAAAGCGAGAACTTGATAACGGATTTCAAAAAATAGCACTTCGTGATAAAACATATGCACAGAGAGTCAGAAAGAACAAAAACTGACCTTGGTTGAATCTGTCGGACCGTTGGCTGGTCCGTTCACAGACTGCTGTGATTCATCTAACCCACTAAGTGAGCCAGTAAATTGACCAGAAGAAAGTGGCCCGGGGAAGTGGTTGCCACCGTTGACGCCACTACCACCACCACCACCAGCATGTTGGCTTCCTCCACCGCCACCTCCACCAGTTCGATCCGACTGAGGTGCACGACGACGCCTGGCAGTGTGCTTTTTCAACAACTGCTTGTAGCCTTCTTTTTTCTTTGTTAAATAATAGTAGCGAATGCAATCAGCAACGGTTTTTCTCTCCAAGTAGTTACTGATGCTGAGGAAGTTCTTCGGAGTCGCAAGAAAGCGTTCACGAAACACTTGCTTTTCTTCGTCTGTCCAGTTGGATAGATCGAGTTCCTCTTGAAGTTGGGCTCGACAATCGGTGACAAGACCCGTTTGGTAAATGAAACGGTAGCGGCGCTGCCATGGTGCTAGCGGGATGGGCGGGTCAATGGCATACTCCTAGAAACAGAAGACCAGGAAAATTAAAAAAGCGCTGACGTAAATAAACAACAAAACAACAATGGCGGTACATCAGCAATTCGAACTGATGGTTCCCTGTCATACAGTCGCGAAAACCAAGGAAATGAAGAATAAAAAATGGAAAGAATGACGACCTAGTGTAAAACCTAAATAATCTAAGCAAGCAGTCAGTGTCAAAGGCGCCTATACTTTGTCAACAACACACGGTCACAAACAGCCAGCAATCGTGCGGAGATAAGGTGGCATCCGCTAGACGGATTCCACGCGGCCTTCACTCTCATAGGTCAGAATCAGCAATTATACAGCAGATAATTCAGCATCAGGTATAACTGAAACAGGCAGTCGGACAAAAAGACTACGACCAGCGCATCGTTAAGGTCACCTGTGGGTTACACCCTCATAACGTCCTGAATCATGTACTCTGATGGACTTCAGCTTAGTAGGCAACGACGAAAAACAGCTCCCAGTTAATATAATATTTTTATGGAAGACATCAAAAGCAAAAGGTGGCGAGCGAACTCGTTTTTAGTGGCTTATCTCTAGGCCATTGCACCAGGAAAAGAGGAGTTAAATCAAACACAGTAATCAAATGCGATGAATAAGGGGATCTGAATGCATAATCAATATCTCCTAATGATTGGTCTACTAAAAGTAAAATCAAGAGACATGGCGTGATCGCCATCGCAGTGGACGCAGGTGGTGGCCAGGGCAGCCGAATGGCTTGTACGAGTTTCTTTTGAGCACATAGCTCAGGGTTCGTAGTCTAGTCATCAGTAACCTTATTTTCTGTTGCCAAGTCAACTGTTGCCCACTTAGAGGCTTGCAACATATTACATCATTCTTGGTAATGCAGCCGTTCGTTTCATCCTTTTATACGGTTGTGAAACCTGGCCCATCAGATCGACAGACATAAAGAGGATACTCACATTCGATCATCGCTGCCTTCGCAGCTTAGCTCATGTCTGGTGGGAGTGCCGCGTATGCAATGAGCGTGTTTAGGGTCGCATATTTGGTGCAGGAAGAGCGAATGAACCGCTCAGCACCATCATATCAAGCACCAAATTCTGATGGCTGGGCCACGTGTTGCGCATGCCAGCACACCGACTCCTACGACGTACGTCGTTTGAGCACCGGGAGTGCGGTTGGAAGGTGGAAGGAGGCCAAGCGATGACTTGATTGAGAGAAATGAAAACCCTCACTTCGAAGCTGGCGTCGGTTGGTGCGTCTCGACTGCCTGGCTGGGGTCCTAAGAACGATGAACACGTTTGGATGGATACAGTAGCTGAGATGGCTAGAAGCCAACTCCAATGGCGATTGTGCTGTGAGGGTCTTCGTCCATCCCTCTCTTCCATAGATTTCCCCTCCGACTGGGATCTCGTAGGTAATGCATAACATAATACTTTACATTACATTACTTCTTTTGGAAGTTTTTTAGTGTAATTTTTAGTATCTTCTTTTCGTATTGCGTCACATTAGCTGAGGTGTGTTTCTCACTCTAAGCTAACGTGTATTGATGATGATGACTCCATGGTAAGCGATGCCCAAGCTAACGCGACTTTTTCGCTATGATGTGTTGCTTTGGAGGACTAACTGCCTAGCTTTGTCGAGAATAAAATATTTATTTATTTATCTGCGTCTAGTACTAGCCCACTCATATCATGGTTGCAGACACGGCTTTACTCCTTCGCAATACGCAGAAAATGTAGCATTCATCACATTGTCCAGGTTGAGTGGTGATGGTGTGGGATGTATGATGCAAAAATGACATGCGTTGACAGTGTAGTATCCATCGCTTCAGTTAGTGTCTCGTTCCACCATTTGAAGAAGGTGATCACGGGCAACCCAAACACTGGGAAGTTGAATGGTTAGATAACAGTGAAATCATTGACAGGATGACGTGAGAAACAGGCCGCGTTGGTTGCATACGAAGACAACTGGGACAATGTGAGGAAGAGCTTCGCAGTACGTGCCAGCAATTCTATCCCGAGAAGTCTGTCGCATTTAGGACACAAAGCGAAGCATGTCACAACACCATTCCTAAACTAGAAGTCATCATCAATGGTATTTTCACTTGCGCTGTTTCCAACCATATCGTGCTCACTTTCTCATACTAACGAGCACTTGGAAACTAGGAGTATTATCAGTTATATAAGCAAAGAATCCAAATCGCTTCAAACCGTAGGATAACAATGTTCAACGGGTTTTCAGCGGCTGCTCACCGTGTCAAATAGGTCCAACAGATGGCGCATACTACAACCATAAATATGCACGTTTCAGTGCAGCAACGCCCATAAAATTCCGATTTCAGATACATGGAGTTTGCAAGCATAGCACCTTCAGTGATGCCAAAACTTAGTTCCCTGATTTGAGGGCAGTAATCAGAGTTAACGCAATCGTGAAACCATACCTTATTGTCAGACTGGTGAATGGATGTTTGGAAACCCGAACCAGGATAGTTTCGCTAGAATAAATGTGATTTTTATCTAGAGTGAAGATGTGAAAGATGTGACGGAGTGCTATTCCTGCTTGTTACCAAATTAATCCTATCCGGTAATGAAGCATTAAGTGGCGCACCTCAAACGACTCGGTGTCTGTAAGGCTGCATTATGTGACTGTCCACAACTAGTGATAGGTAAAACGGGAAACGGTTGTGAACAATTACCAGTGCAATAATGTTTGATACCGAAGCAGGATTCGCGCAGTAAAATTGTCGATGTAAGCCAGAGGAGATTATCCAGAGGCCAACAAACTTGACACAGTGAAAACGCGAACAATATAAGAAGACACATGTTCCATTAACGGCAGACAGTTGCTAGCAGTGTCTGATGACAATACTGTGCACGAATCGCAAGAAGATCTCTTTGACCAGAGTAAGATCATTAATTCAGATTGGCTACTGGGGCATCACCGTCTTTCGAAGAAAAAACCGAGTCCGAAACGCCAAGCATAAAACGAAAGCATTCATATTTGTCAAATAGTCTATTCATATGCGTGGTGTACATACGATGGGAATTTTCCGACCACTAGTGGAGCCAGTGGACTCCCCGAACTATGATTGCGACAACCCGTCTGTGATGGTAGTGTTGGTAGATAAACCTCGCTGACCACTAATCCCAAGCATTCCGATTCACATGGTGAAATAAATAAAATCAGCAGCGTCATGAGGTGGCATTCCAGGCTCCATGCTTGTGCAAAAATATCACGAGTACCTATAGCGTAGAATACGTAAGTCGCATGAGATGGAAACGGAGAACTGCAGACTAGTATACCCAAATCTTAATCATGGTCTGAGCAGAAGAGAGAAAACCCTAATGTTTGTTACCGTGAGTGTACAATTCACATTGCAACCTTAATGAAAAAGCATATACAGTAAGATGACCGATAGAGAGCAGAAACGTCAAAGCGTAGCAGTTCGCTAGTCAGAAGTACATCAAAGCTAAAATGCCTTGACCTAGAGGGGCCATGGCTGTGCTAATGGTTCGCAATAAAAAGCATAAATCTAATATTGACGTTGTTCAAAGCACCCATGCGTAAAATCCTGTACGGGAATAGTTGGAGGGTTTGGGAATAGGGGTGGCATGTCCTTAAGTGAACATCACTTTTGACTTCAAAGTGCCCACCGTAAAGAATGTCCTAAGACAAGTCCACAATTTGTGACTTCCAGGTATTTTTACAATTTTGAGCAAGGTGTTATTTCCCGTAAAACTGCCTTGTCATGAGTATAGATACAAAAATGGAGTCCGTGAAACGAAAAAATACGAAGCGAGAATAGTGATCATAAAGTTGGCGAACAGATGCAAATCGAGAGTGCACTTCGCACTATAATACGCCGTTCCCCAGGATCAGAATGGTTGGTTTAAAGCGAAATGCAGTAGAACAGATTGATCCAAACGAGACCTGAGTACAAAAGATTGAAGCTAGATGAAGTGAAAAAGCCAGAAAAACTATAACTACACCGCTCAAGTCACCGAACTGCTTGCAGCGAAGAGTAAAGCTTTGAGGGCTTTACCCAAAATATAGACTATGCAGTATACAACAAGTGAGCCGCAGGTAGTCTAAACAGCCAAGGAACGTGTTGCAAAGGTGATGGTTATAAGGGACCCATGGTAGCAAAACACAGCTAATCGCAAGTAGTCGACATTGCGATCCCACGAGCAAAAACACCTTACTAACACAGCATGAACAATTCGATCGAGAATACATTGGACGCTCATGAATCCCACTGGGTACCGTGGGGAAAAAGTAGCAACCGATCCAGGGTAGAGAAAACGCATTCAGAACCATCGCTCACTTTCATTTTGTTCATTTCCTCCACCGGATCGTAGACAGGTGGTTGCGTCCCATCGACGATAGCGCCGCCTGCAGGCTGACAATGCGGTTCGACTGAACGAGTGAATAGAGAACAGACAAGGGAATGGGTTGTTAACCAGAAGACGAAATGCTAATTACAAAGGGCTGAAGAAACAATCTACAAGCGGACAAGGTCGAAAGACCATCATTAACCAGTGGTGGGGGCACTTCATCTTAACGTGCACCTTTCTACGTGAAAGGGGAGCAAAAAACAACAGTTGTATCCTGCGGTGGAAGTAGAAGCTTGCTCTTATGGTGAGTTGGCATGACTGAGCGACGATGTTATACAAGATAACGGTGGGACCTTTAAATCGGCCGTTGCCTTTTCATTGAACATCATTTTTATAAGAGTTGAAGGAATATTTGAAGGAATATGCGGACATCTTTTTTGCCCGAAGTGCTCCCAAGGTCACCCAGACCATCTAACTCTCCACATTTTGAATACTAAGTCGAGATACCACGCATTATTCGCAATTTGTTGCTGTTGGCAACGAACTTTTAGTCCGGGTGAAACCAATTCTGAAGAAATACCTTCGTATAACTATTCTCTCTCCGATGAAAATAACCCGAGGATACCGTTTAGCAATTTGTGCTTAGTGTCCAAGAATGTGGACCATTTTACTCGAGTAACATCGATGTATTCTTCCATTTTGTGTTATCCATTTATAAAATTTTGCAATTTTTATGATGCCATTCTGCGTTATGCGCAATTGATACTGTACCGTGCAGAAATTGCACGCTTGCTGGTACATAAAAGTTGTCTTGAATTAACTTGATTCTTCAATCCTCCGCATACAGCTACCAAGTAAAAAGTGGGGTTGGTCCATACCAGTTTTGTGATAAGCTACCAAAAGATGAGTCTAACCAGTGGTGTGCAACGGGAACTTGAAAGGGGAGAGCAACAAAATGCTCTTATTGGATGAGTGAATTCGGTTGGGATTATTTCGTGGAAGTTTCATTTCTGACTCCGGAGGTTTCGATCATAAATACCTGTGTTATCTCTGTTAGATTTCGGAGATCCTACTATCGCTTTGTGCTCCACAATAATCCCCATCTCGGTTTCGGATTTTTCATAGTGCCGAAACAACCACCTTGTGGTGCCTGTTCCAAGGTTATCACCATCATCACTACAAATAAACTAAAGGTGAGAAACACACTTCAACTATTCTGCCGCAAGATAAGACGAACGAAAAAAGCAAAATGCGCAAAACTATAGAATGCTAGTAAACAGGCAGCATACTACTTAGTAGCATATTATACGTCAAGATGGAGGTCGACGTTGGAGGGGAAGATAAGCGTGATGGGGAGGAACAAAGAAACAACACGAACCCCACTGAGGTCAGCTCCTCGCCAGGTCAACTAATGAATCCAACTAAATGTGTTCATCGTACTTCGGATCCCAGCCCGGCAGAGGGAAAACACCAACCGACGCCAACTTCGATGTGAGGGATTTCATTCCGTTTGACCAAGTCATCGCTTAGCCACCCATTCTCTTCTTTCATCGAGACAACGGGAGCGCAAACAACGCACGCCGCGGGAGTCTGTGTGCTAGCATGCGCAACACATGGTCTAGCCATCGGAGCCTGGTGCGTGATATAACGGTGCTGAGCGACTGACTCGCTCTTCCTGCGCCGAATACACGGCGCCGAACACGCTCATTGCTCACCCGGTGCTCCCACCAGACATGAGCTAAGCCTCGAAGGTAGCGATGATCGAACGTGAATAGCCTCTTTTCCAAGGTTATCGGGAGTCCAGCAAATGCACCACATGTGTCATATGTCAAGTTAAATTCGACAGTTAATTTATTAGACTATCGTTTGAGCATTTTCGGCGTTTTCGTGAAATCCAACATGATTTCGTCCACATTTTGCGTAAGAAGTGCCGAAACGATACACAGCCGGAGAAAGTGGAACAGAATGACAAGCCGCCTTGTAAATTAAGTCACTCCGTTGAGAGCAGCTCCGTGTATTTGGTCTAACAAGCGAGCTCGAAGTGACTCCAGGTTTCAGATGGGCTTTCCTGTTCGTCTTGTGCGAATTCATCGGCACGAAATGCCGCCGTTGCAAGTAGCACATTTTCACCTGACACGAATATTTTACCTGTGGTGTATCCCACATGCACAGATGTCCAGGTGAGTGAAAGCCTGTGTACGAAGGACACGCAGGAAGTACAAGGACAGAAAAACCAGAAAAATAAAAGTTCAGCCGGTGCAAATCAACGGCAGGCCAGTCCACATTAGACTCGGGAAAACCCTCATCCTGCAAGATCGATCTTAGCCGACCTGAGGCGTTTCAATCTCCTGATCTTCCACGTGTCGGAAATCCAGTGATCCAACTCCTCAGATGCGCAACAATCATGACGCCGAGTTTTCGAGAGCCCAATTAGTAGACTCCTCGACGTGGGTAGGAACGGGATGAAAGTGAGGCAAATTACCTGTTTTGGAAAGAAATGTGATCAAGAAAGTGAACCAGTGCGAAGCACCTTTGAGGACCAAGTCAGTCGGAAGCTGGAGTTGTCCCGTTTAAATAGATTGTAAGGTCTAAAGATCCATGTTCGTCCTGACCTGGATCAGTGGATCAATAACGGCTCAAGTCTGCTATTATTGAGTTGAGGTGAAATGGTGACGGAGAAAAAAAGCTGTATCGAAATGTTCGAACCGTTTTCAAGACTCCACAAAGCAGGCTAAACAGGGTGCTCACACTTCAAGTACGCCCGGTGGTTCCTGCTGTGGCTTGCAGGTAGCCTTTACCAAAGTTGGCAGCCTTGTGAACAAGCGCGATGAAGTCTCTCATTACGTTGCATCTGAGCCGCCAGACGTAGTGAGATTGGCAGAGATGTGTCTGGATCCTGAGGTGATTGCACAGGAAATTGATCACAGTGGCTACTCGTGCTTCCGCTGGAATAGACAATCCACTGCCCACGATGACGTCCTACTCCACATCCAGCATGTTCTGTGTCGCAAAGTCGTGAGCGTCTACTGAAGCGATGATGGCCTAGGTGAGCAGTTGTGGTGCTCGATCATTCTCAGACGCACGGGGACGCTCATAGGTGCTATAAGCCGCAAATCGCTTGTAAGGATTGAGCTAACGCGTTTCCACCGGAATCAATAAAAACAAAGCCGGAACTGAAATGGGGGTTTCAGTGGAGCGACCCTGAATTTCGCGTATAACGGACAGCAATGCACACTGGTGTCAAATGCGTAGGGAAACGCTCCACAAGATTTTTCCGAAGCGTCGCAAAATACGTGCAGCTGTGTACACTGGTGAAATCCGCGTACACATCTCGGGATTTTTATGTCACCTAGTCTTTTCATCCCTGTCAAACAACTTTTCCATAAGTTCAGCCAGCTCGATTGGCTGGTCCCATCCGAGAATTCCCCGGCACAGTTTCTGCAGGATGAGTTTAAAGGACATGCTAGAATAGACCAATACAAGAGGGTCGTATGGGGAAAAGATCACAAACAAAATTGACCTCCTCGTTCTTGGCCCGTCCTTAACGTCGAACCGGAAGAGGAAAAGATCATCCATCACGTTCCATTCGATTCTGAATGTGCGGTGTACCGGTTTAGCTTCTCCGAGGGGTTTAATCAAAATTGAGAGGTCAGTAGACGGTATCGCCTTGAGCATCCCAGTCCTGTTAGTGGCCTACTTTCGAAGTTTAAATAGTGCCCTACAATGCAGTTCCTGAATCAGTATGGATCTATCTTCACCGTATTCCTGATGGTTGGAACCAACTTGCAACCACTGGAAAACTGAGTTCGACGGTCTAACATGAATTGCGAGCTAAGTGGATTGGTCTTTGTCGCGTAGCCTTAAATATCACAAGCTTGCCTTGTAATCTAAGGGCACTGGTTCGATCCTGCGTAGGGACCGGGAGACCCTCGCAGTATCCTTAGCCCACGTGCGACTGATGGGGGTTGCGCGGCAGCGAAGAGTCGGCGCTGCGTGTCGGCGTACTGCTGACGCTGGTTCTTCCGCGATCTATATCTTCGAAGGACTGTTGGGCTGTTATAAAAAAGGAAGTGACATTACTGTGTTCTTGGTTTGTACGATAGAAGTGTAGAAACGTTTGACCAGTCAAGACGCATTGGTTTGACAAGGAGTATGGCAAAATGGCTCGGAGGTGGTGCAAATTGTGAGAGAAATTACTCCTCTCCAGCTCTTCCAATGATTAAGAGGTGCATAAGAAGCACCGAAATATTTGCAATAATATAAGAACGACTAAGCGCCAACATTGCGAGCAGCAGCTCACAACCGCTGCAAAGGCCGCACCGAAGATGATCCTCATCTACGTGAATGGAAGCCTTAAGCCCACAGGTGATCCGCCGCCGCACTAGAGGGATACTTCGTTTCCGTGTTTACAAATGACCAAGTATTTGTGCCGAATGAAACATGTACCGCGTTGAAGGAACACGACAGTTGGGTTTGTGATGTTATGGTCGGCCAGTGATCGAGTGGTCTGTGCGCCTGGTTTGCAACCATAAGGTCCCCGATTCGAATCCGCGTAGCGGTGGGCGTCCACGAGGTACACTTAGCCCGCGCGTGAGTGGTAGTGGTCGCGCGGCAGCGAAGCGACGTTACGGCGTACAGCTGAAACATTAGTTTATTCAGTTTGCGATGTTAAAGAGGTGTATCAACTACTCGTCAACCTTCACGGTGCCAAATCTGCTGGCCCTGACGGACTTCACTCACAAATTCTCAAGTCTTATCGGGTATCTGAAGTGCTCGTTCCGGACCTGATTTGACGATTAGCTATTGATCGGATCCTCGAGGTCACTGGCCCCCACAGAAAAAGGGAAAACCGGCTAGGGCGAGAGGAAGAGAAGTGATTACTGATTACTGGTTAAAAGCAGCGAGTAGAGTTTGCTCTGTGTTGCTGCATCTAATATCACTCAGGGACAAAGACCCGTTGTGCGTCGGCCAAGTGTTTATCCAGGAACTTCTTAAATTCCGACACCGACTTTGCCTCAACTACTTGCTGCGGCAGGCCGTTCTATACATTCACCACTTTGCGTTCGAGACAGAGTTGGTGAG